GTGCTGTCAACCCGATTCTCCACCGTCCTTGGAACCAAAACCTCTCATAAAGATACAGAGAGAGAGGGAAGACTCAAATCCCAGGCTGAATAATGTTAGTGAGGATGAACACAGGCAATTAGAATAGATCAGGAGAGGAACACAGCAGATCCTGGTATGGTAACATTTTGCTATGATTAAGTTTCTTATTGTGCTTTTAGTCGACTATATTGGTTTGATTATTTGCTTATTTAATGTATAATAATATCAGCCAAAATAATACAAATGATCATTTAAAGAACAAATCATACATTAGATTAACAGTAAATACATAAATACTTCCTATTTTGAAATGTTTATATATTTTATGAATTCATTGTTCAGTGGTCATTAATGTACCAGACACAGACCAAAGTTATACTAAATAAATGTCTTATGTTAATACTCAGTGGTGGATGTTTTTTAACCTTCACAATTTTACTTCAACAATGAATTAAAAATTATAATGCTGCACTTTTGGCTGCTGTATAGGATCACACTTTCCATCTGCCAGGGATCTGCAAACTGAATTTCTGGAGACTCACTTATTCTTTGGCTCACTTATTATATCAGATGATGAAATATTTCTGTTTTTTTTTTTTTTTTTTTTTTTTTTTTTTTTTTTTTTTTTTTGTTTCATTCTTTTTCAAGTGTTGCCATGAAAAAACACCGACTATCCTGGCCCCTGTGGTAAATCTGGTCTAGAACCAGCCTCCAAACCTAACTCCTTATTTATATAAGTATTTTGGTAATACTCTGTAAAATATCAGAATGTTCACATAACCTTTATACTTTTAGTTGTCTAAAGACACATTTTGAATATTAAATCAGGTGTTATGATCAGTTACTCAGTGGTTTGTTTACCAAATACTTTTTACCCTTGCTTAATTAAACATATTTAATGTATATTACTCTGATTGAAGTACAGTTTTGGGATACTGTAAACAACCTCTATGCATGAATGACTGCTCTACAGATCACTTTTTAAAGACAAAAAACACCGCCATAAAATACTGCAGCGGGCATCCCACCCTGTTAGAGTAGGACGACGTGCCGTGATGGGCGTCCCTTATTTTGATTTCTGAAAGGTGGCAACCCTACTCATACCTGAAGAAGGGAAGTATCTTAATAAAAGAGCCGGACACAGTGCTTCTGCTCCAGCGATTATTATTATCTAAGGAAGAAGTTCCAGTGCTCTTCACTATAGCTAGCTTAAGCGTTAGACTCCTCCTGCTGGTTGAAACTGACCACTGCTTCAGCCAAATCAGACTAGCCAGCCTCTGAAATAACCAAATTTCAATCCAGCACACCTTTATCCCTCACTTCCCCACTGTCTGACAGTGACATCTGCCATGCTCCTCCTGAGCGTCATGCTAGGATCATGGGAGGTTAAACCCGAACCATGTCAAGATAATTAACGTTTTTGCACCTGCTTTTTTTTAACCAGCTCTTGCTTTACGCTCTCAGTCACACTGATTCTTGCTTGCTCTGTTTTGGTGCCGGCTGGTTACGTCATCAACAAAAATTACTGCTTTTAGCCGGTAGACTGCAGATCTCGATCGCAGGATAAATTTCTATCGTTTCTACCATATACTGGGTATATCACACATTCCTATCGCAATATGAATTTTATGCCACTTCACACATCCCTAGCTGCTCCTATGCACAATGGGCATGTTCACAAAAAGGGCTGGTCCAGTTGGAGTTTTATTGACCTTGCACTCATTAAAGTGGGATTCCACGCAGCAACACAACTAGTTTTGTTTCCCTGTGCAGGTGGACCAGGATTGTTGGATCCGTGTGAGAAGAAGCCTGTGGATACCCTCACTGCCATGGGAGAGCAGCAGAGAGAGGACATAACCTCCAGCGCTCAGGTACACACTCATTCTTATAGTTTGCTTCAGACATTTGGCTCTTTGAAAATCCATTTTTATCATACAATTGTAAATACTTATACTAAATAATGGCAATAGATTAAAGTTTTGGCCATAATGAGCTGCTCTAACTTCAGCACATGTGAAATACCAGGGATTTATAAATGATTTAATTCATTCTAAATGACAGGTTGTCCCTTTTTTTGCAACTGATAAGAGACGGACAGATTGGAGCAAAGTTGGGTATTTTTACCACATTCCAACACAAATCCCTGTTCCTCTTTAATAAATTTTCACTTGAAAGAATCAGTTCTGCTTTAAATTAGATGGTTGGAATCCACTGATTTGGAGAAGTTTTGAAATGTTTTTGTAACGGTAAGAGTACACCTCCCAGGAAGCCTCCATTTTGCTTTTACCTGCTAGTGGAGTTCAGTAATCTAAAGCTGCAGTAGAGTTTGAAAACGGAAACAATCAACTTCCCTTTATTCAGAAGTAAAGAAGTGAACCAACATACTTAAACTGCAGCACAGCCCTCAGGTCAGACCTACAACACATTAACTTTACCATTCTGTTTTACTTTGACTTGTCTCTCTTTCCAAACCCTGATGGAGCGACATTTGTTTGAACACATTGTCGTTGTTTTGCAGTTTGCTCTGAGGCTTCTGGCCTTCCGTCAAATTCACAAAGTTCTGGGTATGGATCCCTTACCGCAGATGAACCCTCGCTTCAACGTTCGCAACAGCCGGAAACGCCGTCATGACAACAGTGATGGAACAGACAGCTTTGAAGGGGAAGGCAAAAAAGACAAAAAAGATTTTGATAATTAGTTTTTCTGTTGTCACTTAAGGGAAACCCTAGAAAAATGTCCTAAACTGTTGTTTGCCTGTTTCGTGTGTGCTGTTTTTTTTTTCTCCCTACAAAGCAGTGTATCTGAACCGAACTCTGTATTACAAACACAAATGTTAAGCTACATGTTCTTTTAGTTGTAGATTTTCAGAATGCTGGTGCTTGGCAAAGTAAACGAGCTGCTGTGCTTGTTGTGTAGAAACATTGAAGGACAGTAGCTCTGCTGCTCTAACCTCACCTGTCTGACTACATGAGCCGAATCTCAGAGGATCACTGTATCCACGTTTAGACCATCAGCTCAGAGGAGTACTGACTGTCAATGACTTCATTCATCTGTATAGTACTATCCAGAGCTTTGTGTTGTTATTGTGACACAGATGGGCAAACTGAAAGTTTTTCTAAATGAATAACTCATCTAAATGCAAGTGGTGTTTAATGCTGTGGTCTTGTTACGTTTCGGTGCTTAACATCACTTAAAAGTACCAACAAAGCAGTGCATACCAGACTTTTAACTCTTCATTTATCTTTGTAGTTAGTGGAATTGTTGTTTAATTTTTGCATATGTATCCGAGAGTATTTCTAATCTATTAATAGAAATAATAGCTTTAATTTAGTGATATTTCTTTTCTTAAAGGAACGAACATTTCACATCCTATACTGTTTGTTTTTATATTAGAGTTTTAGTTAAATGCAACATTGTTGGCTTGCCTGTCAATTATTAGAAGCTGAATTATTTCAAGGCAAGAAATATGACTAGAGCGCATGACTGGTTGTGAAAGCAGTGATGATGTAAACGCCCTCCATCATGGCCTCTTTTGTGAATGTTTGCTGTATCTTGTTCTGCTTCCTGGTTCAAGTGGCAGAATAAAAGCATTTTTAGATGGCTGAATATTTGTAATTGGAAGCAATTTTTTCTCGTTTCCTTTTCTAGTTTTCCATTTTTGAATAATCATATAAAGGGGGTTCAGGTGTTGAGGGTTACTGGCCTAATGCAGCTTGGGCAGTAATGATTATTTTAGTAAATAAGTGGACACAAAATTGGCTTATTCTCCAGATTTTTTTATTTATTTAACCAATTGAGCTGTTTATACAATATTAGAAATGCATGAAAAAATACAAATGAATTCTTTTTTTTTTGTTCAATCACATATACATTCCAGTTGATCCTAGTTATTAAACAGTACAATAAGCTTAGTTATTCAAAGTACACTGCTCAAAAAAATAAAGGGAACACTCAAATAACACATCCTAGATCTGAATGAATGAAATATTCTCATTGAATACTTTGTTCTGTACAAAGTTGAATGTGCTGACAACAAAATCACACAAAAATCATCAATGGAAATCAAATTTATTAACCAATGGAGGCCTGGATTTGGAGCCACACACAAAATTAAAGTGAAATGTTCCCTTTATTTTTTTTGAGCAGTATATTTTAAAAAGTTTCTAAGGAAACCCAACAGATTGCATCAAGTCAATGATGTAGTGACAGCAGAAAATTTGTCAAATATTTTATTGCCTAATAATAGCATTCCTTTAGTGAACTCTTGATCATTTTAGGAAAGGTTCCATCTGCAGCTAAAATATCCTAACGTGAAAAGCTCAATCTTTTCTGCTTCACTCAACAGAAAAGACTATTTAGAGTTTTAAACAGTATTGGACTGTATCAGTTCAATACAGTGTAGAACTGATCTGTTGCTTATCCTCATGCCGAAAAGACTTTCTGTAGAGTTCTTTAGCACATCTGGGTTGCAGTAATCTTTGGCTCTGTCTGCTCCTCAGGCTGTCAACCACGCTGTAGAGGGGATGAAAGGCATCATCAACATTTCATCATCAGAATGCTGGTGAGAGACAGAATGCTGTCTCACCATCTTACAGTGGAGCCACTTACTCATCCTTTGAGTTTGTTGAGTCATTTTGAGTCCTTCACTGTCATTGCAGCACCCCAGAACACCACTACATTGAATATGTAGTGGTTATAAGATAACCACAAATGACAGATGAAACATGAAGAGCATCCTATTGCAGATATTAAAAGGATCCAGGATTAGTTGAACATGTTGGCCTAAATATGTTGCAATTTTCCTATTACCTAGAAAATTGTTTGTGATATGCCAAAACTCATAATTACTTCAAAAATGTACATCTTTGTTATATTTTTCACTCAAGAATGTAGGTATTTTTTCACCGATGGGTTGATGATGTATAATGGTCCATTCTGTACTGGAATGTCCAGAGTAAACACAGGAAGGCTAACTTTACCTGAGTAGTTAATCATATTGCGTTTGGTGGAGTCCTTTATACCAGCAGAACTAAGGAAGGAGCTAAAAATAAATGCAGTGCTGAGACTGGCAGAGTCGGACGCTCTTTGAGATGCTAACGGGAGCTATACTGTCCACGGCACTTACATCTCCAATCCAACCAGACCCATGGAGGTCCGGCGTCGGTGGTAACAAAGTCTGGTGTCGCCGTTACCACCACACCGGACTCTAAACAGCAAAGCCGTTGCCGATCTGGATACAACACTGCAAAGGCTGGGAGAAACGTCAAAAGACAAGCAGTGTTAACGGAGCTATTAGTACTGGAAATGCTAATGGAGCTAGAACATCGGTACTGAATGTGAAACCACTACCGACACCGAACAAAGTTCGGACCCTAAACAGTTGTTGCCTATACGTGTCATTCATTATTTCAATTACGAAGCTGAATGCAGCAGCAGCAAAACACCAGCTACTACGGGCAACTCTGTTCTCTTCCTGTTTGGTCCTTCTCACCTTCATTACCTCTTCTGGTTTATACAGTCCGATTGATTTCAAAGAGCTCCGGTTCAAATTAAAAAGGCCTAATAATGTTACTCATCACTGTTTTGGCTGGAGGAGCCAGCCAGGAATGGTCTGACCATTACCACTGGAGTTGGTTCTTACGGAGCCCTCCAGGGGACATGGGGTATTTTTTTTCTTTTGCGTTCCCTCGCAATAATCTACTGATCATAATTGGTACTGTAAGCCTTTTTTACGGTGACCGCCGTACTTTCTGCTTTAATACAAGCTTATAAGGTTTTTCCATGGACTATTGAGTTATCACAGGGTAATCAGTCATCTGATTGTGTCTCCATTGTGTTCGTGTCTGAATGGTTTAAAGGGCTGCTTTCAGTGCCGTTCCATCTTAGCCTTAAGAGACAAACATGCAGTAAATCGATTTTCAATCAGTTTTTTGCACCAAAGCGTTAATAATACTAAAAACATTTTATATTATAAAACACAGCAAACTAATGGTGGTAGAGGGCCGCACTGGGTTAACTCGGGGAATCTCATCTGTTCGTGTATCAATCAACTCCAAACCTCTTCTTTGTTCTGTCACAATTATCGATTTATTTAATTTTTTATTATCATGCTCCAAACTTTGCGAGGACTGACCACCCAGCTCACCCGTTTCCTCACACACACACACAGCCAGCAGCCAGTCACCGTCCCATTTATAATTGATGACGTCACTCCCGCATCGACACGCCCACCACCAGGTGTCAAAGCCGCTGCTCCTGTCATATCAGTGATTACTTATTTCATTCATATGGCTCTTATAGAGCCTCAGTGAAAATGTATTATTATTAACGCTTTGGTGCAAAAAACTGATTGAAAATCGATTTATTTACTGCATGTTTTTGTCTGTTAAGGCTCAGATGGAACGGCACAGAAAGCAGCACTTTAAACCATTCAGACACAAACACAATGGAGACACAATCAGATGACTTATTACCCCGCGATAATAACTCAGTAGCTTGTATTAAAGCAGAAAGTACGGCGGCCACCGTAAAAAAAGGCTTACAGTACCAATTACGCCGCATGAACTGATCAGTAGATTATTGCGAGGGAACGCAAAAGAAAAAAAATTCCCCATGTCCCCTGGAGGGCTCCGTAGTACGGATTCACTTCTCTAGACAGAGTAAATTTCATCTTAAACAAGATTTTTCCCATGTCAAATTGAAATGTGATGTTACTCCTAATTCCTGGTTGGAACAAAGCCTCTGGTTTTTTCACCAGAGTTCAACTAAAAGTTGACTTGTCTTACTCCTATTTTATTTCCCTGTGGAGCAATTTCTATAAATACATAAATCTGTGCAGTAATTTTACATTGACATGAAGCCTAGTATGCAAAGTGGTCCAGAACCTCTCCATTCTCTTAGATCAAAACGCAGATTTTAAGGATTAAGACACTTATAGAATATACCTCAACAGTTTTCAATAGAAACACATTCATTCTAGACATTTTCTAATTAGTGTTATAGTAGTTTTGATTATATGTTTGACTAACTAATGTTACAGTTTAACATGAGTTAGGCTATAAGACCACAAGCTAGACTAGTTCAAGTCATGCTAATTTTAACTAAATGGTATTCTACTAATTAAATTGCAATTATTAAAAGTATTATGTGTTGTTAGTTTGTTTTTCCTTAAGTTTTAGACTTTCTCTATGGGAGATGATGTGACTTGTCTCCAACACTGCCTGTGTGACAGAGTTAATTTATGGCGCGGTTCCGTCCTGATAACAGACATTCTTTTCTGCAGGGCTAACTTAAAGCCCTCTTATTTAAACTATTCCTGCTCAATCTACATTTTTCACATGTGGTAAGATTAACTGTATTAAACACTAGGAATATTAATTTTTCCTCAACACCTGACAGTCATGTTCTTGGACTGTGGGAGGAAGCTGGAGTTCCCAGAGAGAACCCACGCATGAACAGGGAGAACATGCAAACTCCATGCAGAAAGACCCCAAACCTGGAATTACACCCAGGATTTGCAATTTGACTATAAGACTTACTCTGTAACCTATGTGGTGACCAATATATTCTGTCGTGTAGTTTGAATTGTACTATTCTTGTTTTAAGTTCCCTGGACATTTTTTTAATATTTTGAAGTGTAATTTTCTATTCCTGATCTGTGAAAGGC